GAAAAGCCTAGAGGTAGAAAAGAACCGAATGGTTCAGTCCTATTAGGGTGTACAACAGCCCTTCTCCACGGGGGTTCTGCAAGAGAATTAAGCCCTAATGCCCCAAGGTATCTATTGGGAGAACTGAGAAAACAGGCACTCAACTACATAGGGCTTAATTCTCTTGTGGAATCTGGCTGAGAAAGGCTCGTGTTGAGCGTGTTCAGTATGTGGAGACAGGTAAGTGGAGAGAAAAGCAGGAGTAGGATCAGGAAGAGCCTTGTAAGTCATATTAGTTTTCCTTTTGCCATAAAGGCATTGCATGATTACTAAATTAATTCATTAGATTGATATAAAACAGTTCAGACAATGAACAATAAAAATCTAAAACAAAGCACAATAGAAGGCATTAAAACATTTAAAAAAAATCCCTCAGATTCAAATAAATTCTACTTAATCTTCAAGCTTGAGTTCAAGTCTCAATCATTCTCATAATCAATATTTACCGAGCACCAGCTCTGACAGGCCACTAGGAACATAGTTCAAGGTTCCTGCTGAAGTCTTTCTGACACATCCAGCCCACCACAGCCTCTCCCTTCTTTCAAGGCCTAAAATAATTGCTTCACCATTCACTCATTTTCATATCTAATCATAATCTCTTTTGTGCTATCTCATGTTGCATGTGTACATACATTATTTTTAGTGAAATAAACTCCTGGAGGACAGAGTTCATGTCTTTTATTTCACTACTATTTGTACTACAGAATTAAGTAAGGAACTCAGTGAAATCTCAAATATTCACTAGACTGCATTCTGCCATTATGTGTATTCTATATGCCTGTCTTTAAATCTGAGAGCAATTTTGAGATAGGCTTGTAAAGAAAAATAAATGTGACCTTGGGATACATGCATGTACACAAGACTTCAGATTAGAAAACAATCAACAAATATAAAGTACCTCTTACCACAATTAAAAAAAAAAAAACCCTCTGCATTTATCTCTATGTACTTTAACACAGAAAGAGGTCAAGAAATTTAAAGAACAGCCAAAATTATTAAGAGGAGGAACTGAAGGACAATTATAATAGCTAATTATCTTAGGCAAATAGTGACTATGGAAAAAACGGTGCAATCAGGCTGACTGCTAGATGAGAACGCTAAGGATAATTTGGGGAACATTTTCCTGGTGAGTGAAGGACTGTGGAACAGGATCACCTTCATGGGAAGCAACTCTAGGAGACTGAAACTGGAAAGGGTAAAACTGTGAGGTCCACCTTGTTTCAGGGGAGAAGGGAATTATACTGGGTGTTATCTAGTCCAATCATGACCTTAACTGAACTAGATGGGGTTTTAGAATGAGAAACTGTCGTAATCAGAATAAGAGGGTACTGCTGAGGAGGTCACACTAATTTAGTTTGGGAAAATGAGGCTAAGAGGCATGATCATAAATCTGTGAATACGAATGGCACGTGCACACTGAACCCAGATTTCTTTCTCATCCAAACTGAAACACTTGGCTAAATATACCTTTAGAGACTTGAACAAGGTACCTCCTTTACATCAGTTATAAGGGAACATATTACACAGTGGAAGTGGTACAGCAAAATGACTGAGAACAGGAACTCTGCAAGTCAGGCTGCCTGTGTTCACAATCCAGCTCTGCCACTTCCTAGCTGCAGGACCTGGGGCAAATTTCTTTTTCTTTTCTTTTTTTTTTAGATTGGCACCTGAGCTAACAACTTGCCAATCTTTTTTTTTCGCTTTTTCTCCCCAAATCCCCCCAGTAGATAGTTGTATGTTTTTTAGTTGTGGGTCCCTCTAGTTGTGGCATGTGGGACGCCGCCTCAACATGGCCTGACAAGCAGTGCCATGTCCATGCCCATGATCCAAACCAGTGAAACCTTGGGCTGCCAAAGCAGAGTGTGCAAACTTAACTACTCAGCCATGAGCCCAGCCCCCTGGGGCAAATTTCTTAATGCCCATATCTCAGCTTTCTTAAATGAAAAATGGAGGTAGTAAGAGGAACTTTCTCACAAAATTGTCGTGAGGATTATAACACACGCAAAGTACTCAGAAAAAGGGGGTCTGGTACACGGTAAGCTCTCAATAAATGCTAGCTATTAATATGCTTCTAGATGTCATTGCAAAAATCAGGAAACAGATTTTTTAAAGGTTCAAATATTTTTAGGAATGGGAAATAAATATATGGCTACTAACAGAACTGGGACATACTCAACTTTAAGGTTAGTGATGTCTGGAGGGGATGAACCAGTAAGACAATGACGATTTTCCCTAAGTTTTCAATTCTAGAAAGTAATGACTATTAACTTTGACAACCCTTTCTTCATTAGTTTTGCAAAAGGCATCAAAGCAATATGAGAGACAGGGACAGAGGAGTTAGACCTGCAGCAAGGCAATGTTCTCAGAAACAGCATTGCGATCACACGTGCTAAACTGGTGACGTTCCGGCTGAGGTCTTCTAGGATTTCACATCTATTAAACGAAGTAAGGGCAGGTCCAGCACTCCATCTTCAGTTATGGCACTTTCCCCTTCACCCACTATACCCCACAAAGGCCTTCTTTCAGTTCCAGGACCAGGCAAGGCTCTTTCCTGCTGTCTCAGGGCCTTGGCAGGTTCATCCCCCTTCTGCCTAGAACACTCTAACTCCTTCACCCCTCCTTGTGGCTACTTCTTCCTGATCCTTAAATTCTCAACCTAAAAGTCACTACTCCTGAGAGCCTTATTTAAAGCAGGTCTCTCTTGTTATTTCCTATCTCAGTACCTAGCTTGCTTCCTGCGCAGTGCAGCACTTCTCATAATATGTAATTCTTTTATTTGCTTCATTTTTAATGTCTTCCCCACTAAATAGCTCTATGATGGGAGAGAACATCTTTGTTCGATATATCACCTCAGTTAAGCTTAACACATGGACTAGCACATAGTAGGCACTCAATAAATATCTGTTCAGTAAATCATGAAGCAATGACCCCTAAGGCTCCTTTCAGCTAAAATCAATAACTGTTAGATAACAGAATAAAAAATACCCAGTGTAAAATGGACAGCTTTGGGGCCGGCCCAGTGGCACAGCGGTTAATGTGCACGTTCCACTTCGGCAGCCCGGGGTTCGCTGGTTCGGATCCCGGGTGCAGACGTGGCACCACTTGGCAAGCCATGCTGTGGTAGGCGTCCCACGTATAAAGTAGAGGAAGATGGGCACGGATGTTAGCTCAGGGCCAGTCTTCCTCAGCAAAAAAAGGAGGACTGGCAGCAGATGTTTGCCCAGGACTAGTGTTCCTCAAAGAAAATAAAAAAAATAAAAAATAAAATAAAATAAAATGGACAACTTTCATTTATGGGTCTAGGAAATATCTAAGTAATGCCTCTCTATGATCAAGTGAACCAAATGGCCCCATTCCAAGAAGTTTAGTTACAGCTTGACTGATGTAATCTATTAGTGACTACCATCTTTCCCCAACAGTGACTTTCTAAGTTTTGCTTTCAGATTTGCCTTTGTCATTTTAACAACTGGTGATCTAGGCTCAAACCTCTATCCAATAATGGATTGGCTGTGTAAGAATTATCTGAGGAGCTTATTAAAAATACAGATTTTTGGATCAAAACTCCAGAAGATTCTTATTTAGTGTAATGAGGTTCTAGAATCCATATATTTAAAACTTTGCTTACTTTGAATAGTGTATGTATGTAGTACACAATTCAAAAGTTTACAGCAAAGTCTCCCTTTCACTCCTGCCCCCCACATCAAGTTCCCCTTTCCATAAACGACCACTGTTACCAATTTCTTATATATTCTTCCAGATAGTCAACTGTCTAGGCAAGCATGTATATATCTTTTGCTTTAAACACACACTTGCATAAAGAACTATTCTAACTTTGCCTTTTCTATTCCCATTTAACAATATATGTTGGAAATGAAGGTATCTGTATTTTTAACAAGCACCTAGGTAATTCCTACGTGAAGCCAAATATACGAACCACTCACTGGCCCAGGGTTAAGAGATTAAGTTCAACTCACTATGACACACTAGCAACTCAAGGACGCTGAAAAGATACCCTCAAAAGTAGCCTTGCTTACTTGACCTCTGCCCTCTTATCTCACCCAGATGAACTAAAACATTGTCTAACGTCTCCATTCTCTAAACTAGGGAAAACTAGCCATTGAAATGGATGTTATCAAAGTTGTTCAATTTTCAATTCCTGTAATCCTTTCCTGCCCAGTGTCACCTGAAATCACAAACATGACAACTTCTATGTTACACAAGAGATTTTGGTATTTGGGTTATGATGAAGTGTGATTTACACTGAACTGGGGCTGTTTTTCTCTCCTGGCAGTTAAGTAGTTTAATAGAGCACAGTCGAAATACTTCGTTGAGTAATCCTTACTGACACAACAGCATCCAATCCTCCCCCAGAACTGCTTCCTTACCATCTAGACAAAAGCTACCAATTTAGAAACTGTCGAAAAGACCGCACTGTCGGGCCGAACTTGAATTCTCGAGTTCGGACTCCAGCAGACCTCACTTCACCTCTAGCTTTCTCTTCCCACCAGTCTACCCCAGAGACTGCAGAAAGAGTTTCCTTGTGGCACGGAGGGAAGGCTCTCGAGGACCGCCCGAGAATCCACCCCCTCCGCAGTGTCCCTTTCACCACGAGGCGCACCGCGCGGGAGGCATCCTCACCTCCCCTACCCCGCACCGAGGAAGGAGGGTAGGGGCCTCCCCAGGCGAGGCGGGGACCCCGCCGGCTTACCCCACCCCAAGCTGAAGGGGCTCTGAAGGGCTCAGGCGCCGCCGGAGCCCCCAGCTAGGGGAGGGCGTGACTCCTCCATCCCTTCTTCCTGGATTTAAACGCGAAGACAGGAAAGTGGGGCTTAGGGGCCCAAACCTCAGACCCCTCCCTTCTCCACGCGTGCTTTGCTCCATCCTCGGGACTCCGCGACCCCCCCCCCCCGACCCGAGGCGTGGCCCAGGCTCCCCACCTCGCCCGCCCCCAGCCCCCTCACCCAGCATGATGGGGCTGAGCCGCCGGGCCAGGCCCTTGGACAGGTCGTACACGTAGAGCTTCACCGGATAGAGATTCGGCGGCTCCATCGGAACCCGTGGCGGCGGCGGCCACGAAGTCCCTCTGGCACCCGGCAGCGGCTTGGACCTTCCCGTACCCGACGGGAGTGGGGAGCGGAGGGAGCGAGGGGAGCTGAGGGACCGAGCCGGGGCCCGGCCTGAGGGGCCCAGCGCTGCTCGCGCCCCCTCACCCGCCACCGGCAACGACTACTGTGAGGTGACAGAGCCGGGACGGGCAGGGTCCGCGCGGAAGAGGGGGCGGGGGCGGAGACGCACTCTCACGCATGTGCGTGCTGTCCTGTCGGGAGGCGAGGGGCGGGGCTTCGCAGGAGTGGGCGGGGCTTTGCCGACGGGGTGTTGTTAGAGTCGACTGTAGAAAGCGCGTTGTGGAAGTGGGCGTGTCAGCTTGACCGGAAAAGTGCGCACTAAGCGTGATGACGTACGGAGCGCTGATTGGGAGCGAGATCTGGCGCCCGCGCGTGCGCGGCGCCCAGCGTTCTGTCCGTGATCGACTTTTTGCCCCCAAGGTAGGCGGGAAGAGCCGGGTATTGTGTTGCTCGCTGACCGGGTCCGGGCTGATGCTGTTTCGCCCCCTCAGTCTTGCGCGTCGCCCTAGTCTCTCCCGGGGCAGCGTCACCCAGAAGGGTGCGGACCCTAGGGTTAGAGATAGCCTCTGGTCCCCCTTCCTCCTGGAAGAGGCCGCACCCGGCCTTGGAGGTCCGCCTGCTTGTGAGACCCCACTAGGCATGGCTGGCTGAGGAGTTGGGGGCGATTTTTGGGCGGGATGAGTACAAGTGGGTCCGCTAGAGGACGGAGTACCCTGGACCGGGAATCCCTCAAGTCTAGATAGTGATGGGGGCGAGACTGGACCTCCAGGTCTGGCTACCCCAGCCCAGCGATCAGAGCGGCCACCTTGGGCCACCATCGGCCCTGAAGCTTCCTTAAGGGATAGCTAAGGGGAGGCTGCTACTGGAATGATCCGTATGCTCATTTACCTCTGCGTCTCAGTTACTGAGAGGTCGCGAGCTCTCATCCACATTCCCCACGAATAACCTCGAGACCTGAGGACAGATCTCAAAGAAGCCTAGGAGTCGATATTTTTTAGGTTTAAACTTGCTTGTTGCTGATCTTAACTTTCTTTCGCCTAGAGAGCAGTAACCAACATGTCAGGGTGGGAGTCTTACTACAAAAACGAAGGCGATGAAGAGGAAGAAGAACAAGAGGAGGGCCTTGAAGCAGGTGGTAAGTGACTTCAACGTGTATTGTTCTGTGTGGAAGACTTTCCCTGCCTATCTCGGCTGGGTGGCCTTTGCTGTCTAATGGTCTACACTTCTCTTCCCAGAGAATCTCAAATACTTGACTCTTTTTGAACTTTGCAGAGCAACCCTAGGCTCTTTTATTCAGATCCTATTCTAGTGCTTGGGACATTCCTAGCCTTAAACTTTTGTTGGGCACTGGTAGATTGACATCTCTTGACCTCCAATAGATGACTTTGAACATTGATCCCTCGCCGTCTAAGACTCAGGTAAGACCCTTCCTCACCCAGGAAAGTAGTTTTTCTCATTCTAGGACCTCAGTATAAAAATGCCCTTACCTTCCATAACTGCAGCGACCAAAGAGTAAACATTAGCAACACAGTTACAAGAGTCATTCCCTCACCATAGCCTCCAGGTTTGGGAGTATGTGTTCAGGCAACAGAGTAACACATGGGACAAAAGAAGATAAAGGGTACATGTAACCTATGTGCTGGTTAATCTCAGTCCTGGATAGAAATTTTTAAATTGTTTTTATTAAAAGTGAGAAACATAGGAAATATAAAAAATAAAAGAGAAAATTTACTGTAATCTATGTAATCTACCACCCTAAGACAACCACTACCAGCTTTTTAGCATTTTGCATATTTCCTTCATATAGCTTTCATTCTGTGTATTTCCTAACAACATGTCTTTCTTTGTATCTGATTTTTTGTGTAATTGTAATCATAGTGCATATACATTTTTCCATTTTAATTTACACCAGTCTTCTTCCAAAAAGAATTTTAAATGTATAACCATAATTTGTGTTCTGCTTTTTTCTTATTGCATTATAGATGTATCATCCCATGTAACTACATATATATAGTATTTATAGCTCATTTTATTTTTTATTTACTTTTTTGGCACCTGAGCTAATATCTGTGGCCAGTGGTTTTTTTTCCCTTCTTCTCCCCAAAGTCCCCCTATACATGTTGTGTATTCTAGTTGTAGGTCCTTCTGGTTGGGCTATCTGGGACGCCACCTCAGCATGGCTTGATGAGTGATTTCATGTCCACGCCCAGGATCCGAACTGGTGAAACCCTGAACTGCCAAAGCAGAGCACGCAAGCTTAACACTTGGCCCCTTATAACTCATTTTAAATGTACTATAATTTATTCAGTCTACCTGCTGTTGGACATTTTAATTATTTTCAAGTTCTTACTTTAATAAACAACACTTTGGAAAATTTTGCATAAGGGTTTTTCCATATCTTCTTTTCTTCTTCTTTTTTTTTTGCTGAGGAAGATTCACCCTGAGGTAACATCTGTGCCCATCTTCTTCTATTTTTTTATATGGGTTGCCACCACAGCATGGCTGCTGATGAGAGTTGTAGGTCCATGTCTGGGAACTGAACCTGGGCTGCCAAAGTGGAGCATGCCAAATTTAACCACTAGGCCACGGACCTGGCCCTTCCATATCTTATTTTCCTAAGGTAGATTGCTAAGAGGTAGAATTCACTGGGTCAAAGTAGAATTTTTGTCTAAGGTTCTTGACACATATTGCCATATTGTTTTATAAAAGATGAGTAATTAAATTTATCATATTAAGACGCAGCAGTGTCAAAAAGGGAGACAATCAGACATTATATGCCGTTTTATGAAAAACTCAACATCACCTATGATGTAATCATGCCAGAAGAAGGAAAAAGAGAACCCAAATATGATGAAGCCTCTCTAGGTCTTTAGTAGGAAAGACAAGGACTATGCTAATCTACACCAAGAGAATGCAGTCAGCAAAATCTAGAAAGTGGAAAACTGTACATGACACAACATCCTGGTTCCTCAACAAATAAATTATGAGAGACAAAAGATGGAGGGCGTATCTATAGATTAAGAGACTTTAAAAACGTTTTTTCTTTTTTCTTTTTTTTTTTTAAAAGATTTTATTTTTTCCTTTTTCTCCCCAAAGCCCCCCGGTATATAGTTGTACATTCTTAGTTGTGGGTCCTTCTAGTTGTGGTATGTGGGATGCCGCCTCAGCGTGGCTTGATGAGTGGTGCCATGTCCACGCCCAGGCTTCGAACCGATGAAACACTGGGCTGCCTGCAGCAGAGCGCGTGAACTTAACCACTCGGCCATGGGGCCAGCCCCACATTTTTTCTTTTTTAAGGAAAAACGTGTTCAGGAATGTTCACTTGAATGATAAAACTGTAAAGAAATATAAGGAAGTAGTTAGTAAAAGTCAGGATAGTGGTTCTCTGGGGAGGAAGGTGGATGTTGTAGTTGGGAGGGGACATGGAGAGTGCTTCTGGGGTGACTGTCTAGATTCAATTTCCTGATGTGGGTGTTCACCTCATAATAATTCATCAGGTTGTACTTTTCTTTAATGAGCTTTTCTCTATTTCTATAAATAAACAGGATAAATAAACCCAAGGGCAAACATTTCCTTCCATTTTTTTCCCCATAGGAGAACATAAATATTCAGGAAGAGATAGTTTGATTTTTTTGGTTGATGCTTCTAAGGCCATGTTTGAATCTCAAGATGAAGATGAATTGACTCCTTTTGATATGAGCATCCAGGTAAGACTACCTATTTTTTTAACTTAAGAAAAGAGAGAAAAAGTATTAACACCACTTTAAAAAATAGGGACTCTGAAAAATTTGTTTGTGAATGATATATGGTGGCTCGCCTCCCAGAATGACTGCCCATACTTGCAGCTGAAAAAGAGCAGCAGCGTTGGAGAACAGGCTCATTTTATTCTGGGTTTGAACTTTGGACCCGAGGAATACATTGTTCCCATCTTCTGCGTTAGCCCTACTGGTAGAAGTGGGCTTCTCCTTCTGCTGAGATGGGAGTGTAAAGGAAGTTCCAGCAAGTGTGGTGTAGAAACGAGTCCTCTTGTAAGTGATATTTGAAAGTTGAGCATAACCTGTGGTTGAAAAAGATTATTACAATAAAAAGACAACCTAATTTAAAACTGGGCAAAGGACTTGAATGTACATTTCTCTAAAGATAGACAAATGGCCAACAAACACATGAAAAGATGCTCAACATCTTTAGTCATTAGAGAAGTGCAAATCAAAGCCACAGTGACGTATCATACCCACTAGGATGGCTATAATTAATAAAAAGGAAAATGAGAAGTATTGGTGAGGCCAGCCCCGTGGCCAAGTGGTTAAGTTCACGTGCTCCGCTTTGCCAGCCCAGGGTTTCACCAGTTCAGATCCTGGGCCTGGACGTAGCACTGCTCATCAGGTCATGTGCCAATCTTTACAAAAAAAAAAAAAAAGTATTGGCAAGGATGTGGAGAAATTGGAACCCTCATGCATTGCTGGTGGGAATGTTAAATGGATCATCTGCTGTGGAAAACATTCTGGCAGTTCTTCAAAGAGTTAATCACAGAGTTAACATATGACCCAGCAGTTCCCCTCTTAGGTGTATATACCTAATAGAATCAGGACAGGCACTCAATTCCTGATTCTGCCACTTAGGAAACTGCGTAATGGTGAAAGAGTTGCTGAACCTCTTGCTATCTGTTTCTTCATCTGTAAAATAGAATTATAGTACCTACCTCATCAAATTGTGAGGATTAAATATTTTTGTTTTTTAAATTGAGGTGTAATTCACATAACATAAAATTAACCATTTTAAAGTGTTCAATTCAGTGTTATTTAGTACATTCACAGTGTTGTGCAACCACCACCTCTGTGTCATTCCAAAACGTTTTGAATGAATAAACCTAATATTTATACATATAGTGGAATATTACTCAGCCATGAAAAGGAATGAAGTACTGCTACAAGGTGATTGAAGCTTGAAAACATTATATATATTAAGTGAAGGCTAAACAAAAGGTCGCATATTGTATGATTACATTCATATGAAATACCCAGAATAGATAATCCCTAGAGAATGCGGACTGGTGGTTACCAGGGGCAGGTGGGGGAGGGAGGAATAGGAAGCAACTGTTTATGGGTTTGAGGTTTGCTTTTGGGGTGATGAAAA